GTGTGAATGGCTGACTGCCTTCAATTAAATCAAGGCTGAAGAAAGACAGTCCCTATGTATTGAAAGGGTTTGAGAGAGGTTCTGCCTCTTGGAATTTCTTTTACTCCATTAGACTTTTTAGGTTTTAAAAACAAGGTGAACTCTTTTCCCATTCAGTGTCTCAACAAGCCAAATGTTTATTTTAGCAGTGGTCTCTGTTTTTTTATTTTTTGTGAAAAGAAAAACAACCATTATTATTGTTCATCCCTTGTCCTATTGCCATCTACATTTTTCATTCATAATTCACCTTCTGTCTCTGAGCACAAATGAACTGAATGCCTCAGGAACAAGCAGCCTTGAAATTGAGTATCTTGTTAGCATGTCCTGCCAAACATCTTTCTACAAGGCCTTCTCGGCTCTCTTTAAGTTACAGTTGCCTCTTCGGTTGGCAAGATCCGACTGGGATTGCAGTCTGTGTGCTGATTTCAATAGAGAGGCAAAAAAAAAAGGAAACTTCCTGACTGTTCAGACTTAACCTGGCAGATGACAGCTCTATTTTAAGGAACAGATTTGGTCTCTTAAAAAATGTCATAAATATAAGTAGAAAAGGGGTAGGTTTCTTAATATTTGTATATCTGGAAAAGAGTTATGAACCCATGTAGTTGCTAGACATGGCTTATAAAATACACGATATAGTATATATCAATCTGCTGCACAAGTAGTTCTCAACTTACAACAATTAAAGCCGCAATTTTCACTTCCAAGAATCAGGAAGCTGATTCATTTTGAGAAATGGACTGACATCCTGCTATGAAGCAACTGGCTTGAAGAACGGAAGGAATGATGCTTTTAACAGACAGACACTGAGCTTGGAACCCCATTGTGAGTTGGTATAAAAGGATAAGAAACAGCTCAGCTAACTTGTTCACCTGATACTAAATTGGCAAGAAGATTAGGGCTTGGCACTGTACTTCTACAGGATTTACATCAACAACCTTGAAACAAAGTTTTTGAAAAGAACTATTTCTCATCTTATGGATGCTAGTAACATCCTATTAATTGCACTTTTACAGGCCGAATTTGACTCCCATGTTCAACATGGATAGCTATTTTAGCTGCTAATTTGAAATGAATCAGCCCTTCTTCTAGGAAGATTCTACATTTTTTCTCTTGGGAGTAGCCATAATTTTGAATTAAAGTTATCGTATATGTTGATGCATCAAACACCTGCCTATCCATATGCTTTGTTTTCATAATCAGACTCTTGCTAAAGCCATTGCACACTGCAAACTACAACTAACAGTAGGAAAAAGGAGTAACTAACATTGCTTTTTAAAGCGAACACCCCTAACTGAACCTCTAGGCTTCAGTGCTGTGTGAGAGAACTCGGATCTCTATTTGTTTTTCTTCATTCTGTTTGTTGCTCTGCTTGTGGAATTGGCTCAGCTGTGGTCCCTGTGGCTGCTGACAAGACATATCCATGCACATGTAGATCTGTGCCATTTTGTGCTGCCTTCCTTCATGCACTATGGAAAAATAAACACTATCAGACAGCTGCCGTACAGCCACTACTAAGAGGAAGGTGGAGAGACTGATTTTTCCAGGGAAGGCAGCAAGAGGGATGGGTTAACTAATTTCAGCATGGAGAACTTTGTGTCATCTAGGATTTTGTCAGGGTAATGTAAGATGCAGTTCTTTCTCTTGCAGTCTACCTTTCATTTTCAAAATAGCAAGCTAAATTGTATCTCTCTGGAACAATTGTTTTCACATTGTTCATTCATAAGCCTCCGTTCTCTGCCAGTTTAACTGGAATTTCCTTTCCTGCACCTATAATGAAATCATTTATGCTATCAGTTAATGTAAACTTTTGGCCGAGCACTATTTTTCAGATGGAAATCACCACTATAGGTCAACCCGTAGAAAAATCACAGGTTCTTCAACCTTACTTGGAACAAAGAACAACACACAGGATCACTAGAAGATAGGTTTATATATATAATATATATTTACTTTTAAAAATAAAAATTCCATTGCAAGGCTAGACGTCTGTACAAACTACAAAAATAAATCTTTCTTTTTCATATAAATAATTTATATGGCAAAACAACATTATCAGGTTAACAGATCTCTAGCACACCCACTACATACTCTCACACGTGCACGCACACACAACACACATACAATGTGTCCACTTTTCATCATGCTTCACTGATCCCAGATTTGCTGAGGGGGCAGGGGAGGGATTGGTTTTTCAGAAGCACTCAGTTCTTTCTAGACAGTGGATGGAAGGAAGAATTTAATGGTGGGAAAACTTTGATCCAAATGCTAGCCAGGTCAGTGGCCCTATAGTAAATGAGTTTGGGGAAATTTCTCTGGACTCCAGAAATCAGTGATGGTTTAAAATAAACTGAATGTGCTTATGTGTAGGCATAAACCTACAAGAAGTGAATCCAACTTAGGCTGGGAAATAAAATTACAGCAGTTTTTGGTGAAAGGAAGGGGTTAAAGTGCCTGGGGTTTAAAAGGAAGAATGTCAATGGGAAATGGATTCCAACAAGAATCAACTCTTGTAAGAATATGGGTTGATTGTGATAACAGCCTCTGTGCCCAAGGGGATGATACAATTTTTTTCCTAAGCATGTCACAAGTTCAGGTGAAGTCCTCAGAGTGGCTAGGAGACAATTACACTGGCAATGCTTTAAAAAGTTAACACTGAACATATTAATATCATGGTTAAAATGGTAAACTATTAGTGTCTAAATGTTGGGTAGCATCATGCCTAGAAGTCAATAGGAGTGGATTTCCTGTGTTCTGAAATCCCCAAATCGATAATCAGGATCAGCTAAAACAATTTACCTGCCTTAACTGGTACATAATTTTGTTTTGAATAATTTCATCTTTTTTGTAAGAAAGCTGCATGTGTTTGCATGTATGTATACAATAGATTGTTTTGATCTCAAGGTGTCAAAAATCCTTAAAGGCTTTGCCAATTGCAGCGTCTCTAATTGCCAACCTCTAATTTCTTGTAACCTGTGTGGGTAGACAACCTAATGCCTTCTTGATATTTTGGACTATGACTACCTCAATTTCTTGCTAGTGGCTCTGGTAGGACTAATGGAGGTTGAGCTGCAAAATATTCAGAGGGCATTGAGTTGCTTGATCTCTGGGCTGTTGGCTTGATGTAGGTGACCAATAAAAACATCTAAATCCATGAACCTTGCTTTTTTATTCTTTGTGGAAAACTGCCATGTTTGGCAGGCTTAATATCCAGCAGATGAAAGAATAGTATATTAAGCAAATATATCATTTGATTTGGTGCTAACTTAAATAGGGAGTAGTTTAACATAAGGAAGTTGGTAACCTCATGTAAATAGATACAACCCAAAGAAAATATTGCTCCAGCTGCCATCTTTTCTCCTTTGGAAAAGGACAGAAAGAAAGGAATAAATAAATAAATAAATATAAGCTGTTTTAACGCCAGGAAAATTTGTGTGTTAACATATATGGTGTCAGTCATTCGCTTGTGGTGCCCAGATTATAGACCTGACCAGAAACCATCACTTTAAAGTTCATAGAGAACTTCTGACATTCTGAAATAGAATGGAAAACCAAACTGTTTTATAAAGCAATATTGACCTGGTTATGCAGAAACCAAACCTATATATTAGAATTGGGACTTCTCTTTTAGAAGCACCCTGTTGCCAAATGATAATTCATTTTAAATTTTCTACTAAAGCAGCTGAACCAGAAGGAGAATTCAAGAACATAAACTGCAACCACAAGATTACATTTTTAGGCAGGAGATCAAACATTTCTGCTTTGACAATTGCACCAAAATCTTACAGAGTGGGAGAGGTTTCTGGTCAGCTCAAAAATCTCTCAAAATAGAATCAAAGGGTAGTTTCACACATACAGTTTCTTTTACATAAAAATTTCCTCTGGTAAAGGGGAAAAATGCTTAGGCCACACTTGGCTACCAAGTGTGGCTTGAGTATTTTACTATAACCATAAAGTTCAAGAAGCCAATCATCTCAGCAGAGGAAAAATATTATCGGTAAAAATATCTCAATGGTGAGCATGGTATCACCCCAATAACAACATGGAATGAATGACCTTATTTCATAATACTCTCTCAATCAGGGCAGTACACAACTGAATTTATCATATGGAGATTATTGTTCTCTGTTTTTTTTCTAGATATCTTCAATCCTTATGTGCAACACAAGCTTTGTAATCAATGTAGGTATGTAAGCATTCTGTATCCCGGCATTGTGTCAACTACCAGGATAACTCTTATCTTTCTTTGATGTTTGAAGATCCAACTATGTTTTTTTCCTGGGTGGGGGAAATTTTAAAAAACTCTCTCTGGAACAATCCCTTACTTCTATTAGTCATGAAGCAGAACATTTAAACACTAATCAGAAATTGCTTAGGAGACATTTTTGTGATGAACGTTTTCAGTTGATACAAGAGGCAAGTAAAGTAAGAGAAAGTGTATACAGTATAGGGGAAGGGGGGTAGGAATAGGATCCAGAACAGAGACATCACAGATGCTAGGGTAGGCAGTACTACTGGTGGGAACCAGAGCAGAAGGCAGCCTGTCCCACCCAGTTTGCATAGAATCTTAAGACACATCGCGTCCCCACCACTGCATTCTCCTTTCAGCCCACATTACAACAGGGGTGGTCTCCCAATTACAACTTCACCCTGGTGTTTCCCTTTAAAGGGAAATTGCCACACGTTTACTGAGAGAGCCGTGAAAATAATAAAAATAATTATAATAATTATAAGGGGGAGGGTTTGGTGACTCTTTTATACAGTTTAAAATAATAATTATAATAATATTAATAAAAATAAAAGAATAGCAGCACAATGTGGGAGAGTTCCCCACACATAGTTGAGTCCTCTTTTCTCCATGGAGGGAGGCTGTTTGGGCAACTAGCCCAAAGAAAGCCATGAGATGGTTCACACAGCTTGTGGAGAATGGTCACTTTCGTTTTTTTAGATTCAAGTAGGCCTGATATTAAAAGGGGCACTGGCACAAACTAAGGGCCCAAAATCTAAGCCCTGACACCCAAGAAATCAGAATGCTTTTTGGTGCCAGATACACCTGGGAAGGCTGAGATATTCTCCCATCAGCTTTTTTGCAATATGGATACTGAAAATAACCTGATCTCTTTGCTCTCAGCAGTACTGATTATGCCTGCAGTTGGTTAGATGCAATGCAAGAGTTTCCATAAATTTAGCGAACTTCACAATCTGTGATGTGAGGTGTATCTGGCCCCCATGCTCACTTGGGATGCCGGCCAGCCCTGAGGCAGGAGTTCTAGAGCCGGTGACTTGGCTTGGCAAAGTGGATGGCTAATGATTCTGCTTTAGGTCCTGTAGTTCCAAACTGTCAGATGGTTTGGGGCCAGGTTTTTCAGAGCTATCATCAGATTCAAACCCCTCATGTGTGTAGCCCCGACAAGATCCAGGCAAAGGTGGGTGCAAAGCCAACATCACCGAGGCAGTAGCTGTAACTGTAGTGAAAGTGCCACCAGGTCCTGAAGGTGGTATTTTGGTGCTGTGAGTAATGGATTTAGTCTGAAGGGGATTGGGAGGAGATGTAGCCAATTGAGACCCTAGTCTGTGATTGGGCTGTTCTTGCTGCTGCAAACAACTTTTGATTTCTGTGACAGCTGCTGGCAAATGGCCACCAGGAGTTCTGGATTGGGTCCATTCTGGGCTGCACAATGATAAAGGTGATTCTAGGCTTGTCTTGTAGCTTTTTACCACCTGCACAGGAGAGAAAAGACTACTGTTAGGTATAGAAGAGAACAGCACAATAATAAAACATTACTTGGAGCAAGCATTTCTCCCATTGTGATACTATTGACCTTGGAATATTACTTTAAGTCTTCTTTTCTCAGTTTCAATTACTATGTCTCAATGTGCCTCTCCAATGTTGAGTTCTTGGTGCTCTCCGAGTTTGGTTGTTTCCTTGCAGACATTTCATTAATAGCTACGTATTATCATCAGATGTGAGCTTCATCGAAAAGTGCCTAATTCTATAACCCACCAGAACACAACCATTATAACCTACAAAAAGGACAATACTTCTGTATATCCAAGACAACCAACCTACTTTCACAAGTATTTAGCATCACTGTAGCATGCCAGCTAACAACATCCCTGTAAAACATTTTAAGCAAATCAGAAAACTTGAGAAAAAACAGTATTATCACCAATATAAAATGTAAAGACTGCCATTTAGATAAAGGACTAGAAGACCATATCTACCAACACCAATTGGCTCTCAGTAGACAAAATGAAATTTTAATACATTGATATACTCAACCACAGTTTCAACTGAGAAACTGTTAATGTTTTAGATCAATCCAAATCCCAAAATGCTAGAGAATTTCTGGAAGCTTGGCATTCAAATAAACCAGCCATCAGCAGATACATAGAAATAAACTCTGTTTCATATCGTTTAAAAGATGCAATCAGAAATCAAGGAAATATCCAGATAAGTAGAAAACCACACCACATAAGTCCTCAGGAGGAAAATGATACCTTTATCAAAAAAATCAAGGAGGAAGCAAAGATTGGCAGGCCAAATGACTGTATATAAACAGCCAGCAAACTCCAGTCTCCCTTGCACTGATGATTTTACCTAGCCTGGTAATGAAATGTCTACAAGAAAACAACCAAGCTCAGAGAGTACCAACAACTGAACTGTTCAATCCTGAGTTACATATAATCTTTTCTGTTGGCTCTTCTCCGCTGCACATAGAAATATAAGGGGGAAAACATTCTTAAGCAGCAATCCCCAACTTTTGGGGCTTGGGAGGGAGGAGGAGAACCAGGCTGGGCAAGTAGTGGGCTGGGATTCACACACAGCTCAATTTGTATAAGCAACAGGCTGGTGCGCATGTGCATACACACTGCCCTGACGCTTGTGCAACGTGAGTGGTATGTGAACCAGTGGTGGGATTCAAAAAATTTTACTGCCAGGTTTGTGGGCGTTGCTTGATGGGCGTGGTGTGGATTGGCTTGGTGGGCATGACAGTGGAAGGATACTGTAAAATCTCCATTCCCTCCCCACCCCTCTAATCTGCTTTCCAGCTCCATTCTCCTGTGCAGGGCAACAAAAATAGACCCAGCCGTTCAGCTGAGACTCGGGAGGCAGAGAATAGATGGGGTTGGAGCCAGTCAGAGATGGTATTTGCTGGTTCTCCAGAACTGGTCAGAACCTGCTGAATACCACCTCTGATGTGCACTTGTGCTTGCTGGCCTGCCATTCACGGCCCTGTTGCAAATAATCCAAGGCCCAGTAGTGAGCCACGGCCCAGGGGTTGTCCTAAAGCATTAGAACCAAAAAAATGAACAATCCCAGTTTTGATTTTGTCCCTTCTCCAATTAATGAAGGAAAATGTGCTCTTATTGGAGCTGCAATCTGGGAGTCTTTGGTCTTCTCTTTCTATGATATAACATCGTCTAGCCAGAAAAACCAAGTTGGTTGTTTTGAGCCCTGATGGATACTTACAGTGATTTGGGGAAAATTTGGACTTTTGCTGGCCTTGACCAAGATCTGAGATTGAGCTGGGGAGATGATATATGTGCTGCGGTCATCTTCACCAGTCTCTGATGCACTAACTGTCTCTGAATAGTATTCTGAGTCTGAGGAGTCACCAAAAGCATTTCCATGTTGGCGAATGTAGAAGCTGTGATGGTTAATAGGTGGTGGGACAGGTGATGGTGTTGGCAAGCGGCTGCCATTATCTGCTGGTGTGACCTGTATGTTGAAAAAGAGATGAGTACAGAATAAGGGAGCTAGCAAAAGTTCTCCAGCTGTTGTGCTTTCAAAAGTGATCCTCTTAAGCAACCAGCTCAGTCTGGGGTCATTTCCCAGAATTGCTTAAAAGTTCTTATATCTGAAGAGCACTTAATTGAAAAAGGCAACTCTAGATATCTGTGTGTAGCAAATAGTGAATCACAGCTGACATATATTTCTCTTAATTTTATTCATCTAAGTTGGCACTTCCGATAAGAAAATGACATAAGACCCCTATGGTGAAATAGTGCAGATCAGAACATCTATATCCCATTATATTGTTTTCTCAAGGAATCTCAAACTTGGAAGGAGTCCAATTGCCTGATTGGTGCAGGAATCCAGATTAAAACATCCATATCAAACTTCTGCATGAACATATTCAAGAAGGAAAGCTTGTCTTTTCTTTTGGGGATTGATTCTACTGTAGAACTGCTCTTTCTGTAAATAATTATTTTTTAACTCTACATCATCTGTGGGCAGCAGAGAACAGTTCTCAGTTGACAAGTATTTAAAAGTGTAATTATATCTATGACTCATGTAATCTTGAGGCTGAAAATTGCCAGTTCCTTTAATTCTTCCTTAAAATATTTAATTTTGAGATCTGGAATAACTTTTGTTGCTCTTGTCTGCACTGGTTCCAACTTTTTTGCAATTTTTCTTAAAATAAGGTGGCCAGAATTCAATTCATGACAAATTCTGACAATGAAAAATATAACAGAGCAATTCCTCCTTTTTTTTCCTGTTTTAGGTTTCTGGAGCAGAAATTAAGCTTCAAATGGTGCATTTGAATGGTGATACTACAGATAGTACTTAATTATGACCACAATTAGGACTAGGATTTTTGATTGCTAAGTGATGTGGTTATTAAGTGAGTCATCACAGAACTAGACTTGATTTTATGATCAATTTACTCTGGTTGTTAAGTGAATCACATGGTCTCTAAGTGAATCACATGGTTGTTCATAGTTAAACAAATCCAGCTTCCTCAATTGATTTCGCTTGTTGGAAGCCAGCTGAGAATGTGACACATTGCAATCAAGTGACTACATGATGCTGTAATGGTCGTAAATACATGCTGGCTGCTGAGCACCCAAAGTGCAACCAGGTGACTGCGGGGATGGTAGGTTGGATGGGGTTGTAACTTTGAAAAGGGCTTGTATGTCACTTTTTCTAAGGCTGTTGTAACTTTGAACCTTCATTAAACAAATGGTTGTTATCCCAAGGACTATCAGTTCTAAGAGATAGATAGCAGAGGTGGTATTCAGCAGGTTCTGACCAGTTCTGGAGAACCGGTAGCAGAAATTTTGAGTAGTTCGGAAAACCAGAAAATACCACCTCTGCCTGGCCCCGCCCCCATCTATTCTCTGCTTCCCGAGTCCCAGCTGATTGGCTGGGTCTTCTTTTGTTGCCCTGCACAGGAGAACGGAGCTGGAAAGCAGATTAGAAGGGTGGTGAGGGAATGGGATTTTGCAGTATCCTCTGCCACGCCCACCAAGCCATGCCCACCAAGCCACGCCCACCAAACCACACCATGCCATGCCTACCAAGCCACACCCACAGAACCAGTAGTAAAAAAACTTGGAATTCCACCACTGATAGGTAGGTAGGTAAGGAGAGAGAGACAGAGACAGAGACACATACAGAGAGACAGAGAAAGAGATGGAGATTCAAGCTATCTCTTTTCATTCCTACATGTGACCTGCCTCATTTTCAGATTTTTCCTGAAGTTTTCCTTTAGCCACATAGGTTCCTTCATCTATCCTCCCCACCCCTCCAATTGTAATTGTTTGTAATGTGTTTTAGTATCTCAGTCTAGGAATTCCTACCTACTTTTTGACTTGTTTCTCATGTTATAAGCTTCTGTCCATGGAATCCTACTTATTAATGTTCAGAACCTATGTTCTGCTTTCTTAAAGTTCAAAATATGTGTCTGACTGTATTTGATATTAATTTCCCTTAATATTAAAACTTCCATAATTATACAGCAAACCCTGAAAGGTATTGATGGTAAACAAAAAACCCCACCCAATGTCCAATTTACTTATTGATAATGATTTCCGATAGTATCTGGATAGTCTCTTAACAAAATCTGCCAATAGGATTCGGAATCCTTTGTTCCTTTTTATGTATTAAGATATCTTTTATGTATCTTGGAATAAGCTATTCTGGAACCAAAGATCACTTACCTCTGCAGGTGGTCCAATAATAGAAAGTAGTACAGGCAATAGTACCAGGCCATTAAGTAGCCCCAGAATAGTCAGGATAGTAAGCACGGCAAAGAAATACCTGGAATGGAAGATGGAAATTAGTAATTGGTGCATATTTGGTTAATCTGCCCATAATAAGACCTTCATTGCTAGATTCACTAATTGTTCCTACTTTTCTTTTCCACTCTGGAGCTAAAACACAGTATGTAGGTTCACATGTCATGCTAAACCATAAGCAAACAAATCACATAATTAATTAGTGCAATGTATGAACTTAGCCAGAGGTACGGAAAGGCATTTATTCAGAAGGTAGTCATAAGGCTCACTAGGTAGACCAGACCAGAAAATCAATTCCACAGGAAGACTAAAATTACTTTTATTGAGAGTGGTTATGGTAGCAGAATCTTGCAAGTTTAATTTCACTGCATCAACTCCTCCTTCCTATAGTCTGGTGAATCAGGGAATCTATCTAAATCACTAATCTCTTTGGTTAGTTAACTCCTTGGACTTATTCAACTGGAACAACGCATTACTGAAATTCCCCATTATCCATCAGAAAAAAATACCTTCTCTTACTGATACCCTAATATACGGATCAGCAGTTTCAATCTGGTGACATACATACTCCAGAAAGCCATAAAAGGTCTAAGGCTTTGAGACTGATCATAGGACATTTGCCATGTTGTTTGAATATATCCAGAGAATCAATCTAATATAAATGAAAAAGAAAGAACTGTACCTCAGAATGAAATCAAATTCGGAGCCTGCCAACATAAGTACACCAAGCAAAGTTGAAACGGCGCCATCCATTACAGGAGCAAACGTGTGCTCTAAAGCCACAGTGGAGCGCAGGTTCCGGCTGCCAATGGCGGTGAGAAACCCCTGAAAATAGATTAATAATCAGAAACATACCTAAAAAGGATATCTTGCAACCACTCTTAGAGACTACTAACTACATAGATGCTTAGGCGATCTAATAGGCTGGATCACTGGATCAGTTCTTGTGTTTAGAGTTGGGTGCCATAGATGGGAGGGCAGAGAGCCTCACCTGGAAATGATAGCTCTCACTTTAGTTATTTCATAAAGAAAGTACCTTCTAATGTAAAATAATCCAGAAAGATAGCCAATTAGAGAATCATGCATCAAAAATTAGAGTAGATTACATTCTATTCTAACCATCCATATTAATTTTAAAGAGAGTACAAATCCATTCTAAGCTATGATGCTAATTCATTGGTCCTATTCTTTTCAGTCTGGTTCTAAGTATTTTTTTTAAAGCTTGTTATCTGCAAAGTTTAATGATACCAACATGCATTGAGTTCACACAATACTTTATCTTGGTTACCCAATTAATGCATAACCTAACTAACAGGTTAGCTTTGGCCAAGACACTAGCCGTAACCAGCTTAAAAGCTTACTATGTTTAAAGCTAACCAAGCTTACCACGTTGTGCAAATGAGCCACTAGCATAGCATGTTATGTCTTCACAAGCCATTATATAGCAATGCAAATGTTCTTATGGGACATCTTACCAGAGCTACATGTACAGTAAATTCCACGCCAATGCCTACAGAAGCAATTAGGATGACAACAGGGATTGCACTCAGTTTGATGCCCATCAAGCCCATGATGCCAAAAAGCTCCACTGTCATCATTGCCAAAACAAATACCTAGATATGAAAGAAATCATCATGAGTACAGCATTTAAAAAAGCAAACCCAGTGGGAAAACAGAATGCTTATGAACACAAAGCTATGATGCATGAATAATGTTTCTTGCAGAAAATTTGCAGCTGCTAAAGGTTTAAACATATTCTGAATATAGAAGGAATTGTCTATAGAAGCTAACTGATGTCTAAAAAAAGGAAAATTAAATGTGCGCACCCTTGTGTCATTTAACTATTATGTCTTTAGTATCCTTTTTATATAAGAGATGCTCTTAATTACCGGTATATGTTCCACGTAGTTATGGATATTAATAAATCATAAATATTAAAGCCCCAAATATAACTATTGTGAAAATTGAGTAAGAAGCATAGAAAAAATGCGAGGAATTTTGTGAGGAATAACCTTACAGAGTTGTTCTGGTGAAAATAAGAGGCAGAAGGAGTGTTATGTATATTGTTGCCTTAAGATACTTATAGAGTAATAAAAGCAGGATAAAAATCTAATCAATGCATCTGACAGGCTAGATAATGAGTACTTAAAATTCATTGGCAGCTATTAATCTTCCATACACAGATTATCAGCTGAATTGTTAATATGATACAATGCAATATTTTTTAAAAAATTACAATTACTTTTTAAGCAAGACAAAGCAAGAACACTAGTGCAAGGCTGCAGATAGGCATCCATCTATAACGATGTTTGAGGAGAAAAATGCAGTGTACAAACTTCTATTAAAGTGGAACAGTATATAACACATCAGTTGTAAATAAACTATATGTTAACTTAAACTTTTCAGAACTATAGAGAGAAAACTGATGACAGAAATAGGTTTGCTTTTTGTTGCAAAAACACCGGCTCATCCAAATTTTATATAACTGGCATACAAATGTGATGGGGTGTGCGTGTGTGTCTGTCTGTCCAATGTGACCAACCAAAATAATTATTTATTTTGCAACCAAATACACACTACATCAACATATTTTCAGAATTATTAGAAAAATTGAGTATGTGAAGAATTGTAATTGTTTAGGATTGCATTTTGGGATAAAATTAAAAGTTTTAGAGTATTGCATAGATGAGAATAAAACAGAGGTTGAAGGGGAAGAGCGGAAGGCTCTAATCTCAGGATGCTTCACACAATTTAACCTAAACCCATTTTTAACCTTGCCCCTGACTTATGAGGGCTTGAAATAATACTGATTACAAAGCCAATTTGACAACCATACATATATATGTATGGTTACAGAAGATAATGTTTGAATATGGCAATTCAACATCTTCGTTCTTCCCAAATAACCTTAAATGAAAATACTTACAATGATACTGGCAGTCCAAGGATTGAGTAGCAGCAGGGTGCACACCAGAAATGTGCAGGCCAGCACAATGCTGATGGCTTGCAGAAGCCAGTGGCGCAGGCCAATGTACTGCTCCCAGAAGAGGAATGGATATCCGCTGGGGTAGCTGAATACTCCACGTGTCTGGGCCACCTCATCACAGATGGCACGCACACTCTGGATAGCTGCCACAAAGTCTGATGTGTGTTGAAGCCCATTGAGGTAGAAGGGGAACTGAGCAAACTCCAGGGGCTGTGCAGCTGGGACTAGAGGAAGCAGAGGCCGCCATTAGGAAAATAACCTCCTGCCCCCGCCCCCTCTTGTTTGTAGGCCCCAAGATTAATTGTCCCTCCTTTGCCCACATGCCCACCAAACTATGAAGCTAAGCATTTATGCAGCTTTATGGTATGACAGAATGGGCCTTGGGTTGAAACATTGAAATGTGGTACAAGGCTGAATGAAAATGGAGCTGTCATAAATACTCACTTCGAAGATTTTCACCAGTAGCATCATATTTATCATGGATCCATTCTGGGGGTGGCGGATAGAAGTTGGCCTGGGAAGCAGCAAAACCAAGGGGATCATTGCTCACCCACACCGTCAAGCAGATGTAAAAGATGTCATGGGGAATGATTCCATTTTCACTGACCAGGCGGTGAGTTGTCAGCTGTGGGGCAGATGGAAAAATGAGGAAATTGAGCAGGATAAAATTCAAATCTCCAAAAGAATGCAGATCTTTTGTATCCTTACAAAACCTTTATTTCCAAAAAAACACCTTTCACATAACTGCCAGCCAGGAAACACTCCTTTCCCTCTATATATTTTGCAGAAATTCTCTTTTTACGGTTCCTATATTATTCATTCTTACGGTTCATCTATCCGCTTTCTTATCCTGAACAACTTACTGAGTTAGTCTTAATGCTTACTTGGTTTAAGTTGAAAGGCTCTTTCTTGTTGCCCGTCTGGATAAGGAGTTTATAAGCAAGGACACCATCTTCCGAACCATTCCGATAATTGTCCCTGGTGATGCGCCCAGCTTCCCAATCTTGATCAAAGGCTGCCTGTAGATCTGGCATTCAGAGGGGGTAAAATTAAATGAGAGCTCTCCAAGAGATCTGTCCACATTTAGCACCTTCCCTCTTTGTCCCATTGCTCTTATGCTTTTATCACAATAATTTCGGCCAGGTTCCACAGGAAAGGATTTACATAGTGAAGAGAAACTGAATTTAAACACAAGGCATTTAATATACTTAAGCAATGTAGGAATGTATGATTATTATCCAATAACTTACTGACAAATAAGAACAGTACAATGTGGCTAATATCTGCATCAACAGATGTTTTAACAGTGGGGAAAAGAAGGAAGACATTATTTTTCTAGCTTTCAAGAAAATATTCTAGCATGTATTTGCTAGCCTCCAGTTTCTGCATGTAACAATACTAATATTAACTTATAAGAATAGGGTTTCAATTCTAGAGATAGGAAATATTTTATGGTTGTGTATGTCCTATGTGGGCAGCAGGACATGAATACACATCACTTCTGTATATAAATAAACACTGCCAGCCAAAGTTTACTTCTGTGCAAAATACAATCAATTCCTATATGATCTGATGGAAATGTTGTTGGGGTTAAAATGTTTACAGACAGATCTATTAGGGTTTCTGGTAGCCTATAATATATCTTATTCTAAGTGCAGTTATGAAACAGATATTTGAACTTTCCTCCCTGGACACATCTTGTTAAACAAAGAACAAAATCCTGGTTGCTCCTGAAATACCAGTAGGTTTACACTCAAAGCATCCTGCAACGAGAACTGGAAAACATCCCTTTTGATGGCTTGAGAGAGAAAGAAATAGCAGTCTAAGAAAAGTGAGTTGCTAAAGAGAGATTAATTCACCTTGTAGCCAGTCTCGGAAGTAGTGCAGCCACATTTTTGGCAACTGGTGGTTCTCCTCACGTACTACATAGTGGATGGCAGCAAAGGCCTGATGCAGGCTGTAAAGAGCTTCCTGTGAACTTGGGTAGTCAAAGCCTCCATTCGTTACCACAAACATGTTATAAAAGGAGAAATACTTGAACTGAGCTGAAATGAAGGCATGCTCCTTTGTACCTCGTGGTACAATATCCGTCAGATAGAGTCCATCATGCACCTTGGTTGTACCATAGAGGCTGAGGCCCAGAAGGGCTATGAACAGAGCTACCACAATTCCCTGAAAATGCAAGGGAAAAAAGTGTCAAGATGGGTGTGAAAAAAACAGAATCCCCCTTTGCATAATGCAGCTTTTTAAACCTTTTTCTTTATCATGAGATTTGGCCCATTTGGTTCTTTGGAAAGTTTACATCCAGGGTTGGATGATAGGCCAGATGATGCTACTGGCCCAGATGCAATCAGTTATCAATGCAGGATGAAGCAGACAGACAAGGTTATGCATCTTATGCTGCCCAAAGACAATCTATGGATGATAAAAATGGAGGAAGACATTGTTCCCCAGTTCATTCAACTCCAAGTACTTTTTCTGTGTATGAGATGAAATAAAGTCATTGTAGTATCTCCTTCAGTACAGAGAATGGCTGGGGATGCTCCAGATGAAACATCTGCAATGTGGTTCTTATAGCTTGAACTTTTTTATATATATATTCCAGGAAGGAAGCTAGAAGAGCCTGAAGGCTGGTTATTCTTAATCCCCTGGTGATTAATGCCTAATGCCTGAATGAGTGGTGTGAGTTGCCCTTCAAACCTAGCCATTTTATCTTAATTCACTCAGGTCTCATTTTGAACTAACTAGATGTTCAAAGGATCCATATCTGCTATGATAAATATTTCCCTCTTGTGGGCTGACTTGGCAAGGCACAACCAACTCCTGCACACAGTGAATACATTGTTTGCAAAGGAACACAACTCTCATTTCCAGTTGGTTGAGATAGTCAGGGAAATTTAATTTCCAACTGGCTTTAGTCCTCAAGTCGTAAATTTGTGTCCAGGATGATAGTCTTTTTTTCCTACACAGATCAAGATGCTCCCCCCCCACCCCCAACTCCCCAAAAGCCACCCTCTTGAGAATGACTCTGTGCTGCCTACCTTAGTTTGGCTCTGCAGCAGGATGGGTGCGTATTTGTCACGAGCAAAGCTGGAAAGGTTCCATCGACAAATCGGCAAGGGCACACATTCTTGGGCTCCTTTGCTTTCGTCGAGCTGTGCCAGAAGATCCCGAGTGGAACTGGCAGGAGTGAAGATTTGTGAGCCCAGAGGATTGGCAGGAAGGAGAGTGGAGGGAGTGGTAAACACATGCTGTGTGGGTGGTAAAATAGTGACTACATGTCTCCCAGAGGAGTCACACTGAGTGAAGGCCTGCACCGTGGTAGTGATATGTGTGCTGGTTGCCAGGGCTGGATGGCCATGAGGATAAGTCGGTGTAGTGTGGTTGTCATTCACATCAGCATATTCTTGCGGTTGGATCTGGATGACCCGGGCAGAACAGAGGCTGTGGGGGGGGAAGAAGTCATTGAAAACTGTTACAGAAAAGACAGGTACATGATTCTAGATTTTCATGCTGTAAAAATACATTTGCTAGTTATGACCAGGCATAATTTTCAGACTCTGGAATGAAGAGGAAGGGCAGCCCTCTCCCAATAGTTTTTAGATCCTGCATGTCAATTTTTAAACCTTTGTTTTTAAGAGATACATTTTTGACAGAATAAAACTAGTATCTGGCTTTTGGTGGCTTTGACATTTTTCTTAGACCTGAATTTGGATTTTTTGTTGTTGTATCTAAGTGCTTTTTCCAATTATTCTCCTTTCTTAGAGGCCCAGTTTGTCAGAAAAAGTGTTAAGAGTACTCAGAAAGATAGTTGTCTTCACCCCACTCCTAAGGACAATACCTGTAGAAGCAGCAGAGAATATCAAGCCTCTTGTTTTCACGCCTGTGAAGATCCAGACTCAGAATGGCAGGAAAAATGAACAGCACCATGGCAAAGTTAAAAACAACCACTACTGCAGCCTGCAATAAATAAGCAGATTTTTCTTTTTAAAAAAGCAAAGTTCTCATTGAAGATTCCAAGATTGTGAAACATGGAATCTTCTATAAATATGATAATTGATTCTTCTATTACTTGTTCCCTTTATGTGAATGGATCATTTTGCTTGCTAGAAGGGGCCAGAAATGCTAAAGGACAACTGCACATGACTTTATGCATCTCATTTGTCCTTCTGTGTAAGAATTTTCTTCACAAATAGGCAGTCTGAGGTGCACACTATGAAATGGAAGAATTCCACTGTAGTTCAATTTATATGGAAAACTGCTGCCACCAGCAATAGCATCTAGAAGCAGAATAAATATTTGGCTCTTACATAAAAGCAGGGAAAAGCAGCAGGGAATTTCACTTGTAGATGACTTCTAAGGTCCTTTCCAACTTTAGGATTCTATAAGCATATTGTATGAAAGCTGTTGGCAGAGGAGCTTACCTGTAGAGAGAAGGCACGCAATGCAGGGATAGGCACAAGGGCAGCCATGAAGAAGGCAATCATGTTATTGACAGATGTGAGTGCCACACTGGTGCCACTACGTCGTAGGCATTCACCCGTCCGTTCCTGGGTAAGAAATGTGAAAATGAGCAACACAAACTCAGAATGGATCGACAATAAACCCTGAGGTTACAACTGGCAGTACACAGGATCCTAAAATCTAGACAGATATACTCACCTTGATAGGGACATGCTGACTTGTCTCCGTGAAGGCATGTGCTAGCAAGAACATGTCATCCACGCCAATGCCAAGTGCCAGAAAGGGCAGCACCTGTACAGGTCAGGATGGAAATGTAACAAAAGGGACATGATCAAAACCTACCCAACTTTTGCAAAAGTTTTGAGAGCTGAAAGCAGTACAGTTCCAAGAGTTTGAAATACTCTCTACAACTCAACATATTCATAATGCCGTGCTAGGATAATGGACTAAATCCAACTCAATGCTTAATGTTGATCTTAACAGGCTGAACAGCAACAGCAATAACAATAGCTATTCATAGTCCTTTTACAGCTTTCTCTAAGTGGTTTACAGAATCAGCACATTGCCCCCAACAATCTGGGCCCTCATTTTACCAACCTCAGAAGGATGGAAGGCTGAGTCAACCTTAAGCCAGTATTACTAATGTTGCAGAATAGAAAGAAAAGAAACAACGTAGAATGAAAAGTCACATATTTTTGTTCTAATCAGGAAATCTGGACCTCTCAAATGGGGATAGCGTACCTGAGTGGTGGCTGCATTGAATGAAATCCCAAGCAAGGAGCAAAGTCCAAGTCCTGCTGCTACTGAAAGGGCAACTAGGAGGACCCCAGCCAGGCCCACAGCACCCTGCGATTTGGAGCAGTCCCAGCGCAGCAGGGTGACGCAAGCATATGCTAGCTAAAAGGAGATGAAAACAGAAATTGTAAGGGTAAGAGTAGGAATGGGGAAAGTATTCATTGTCCATAATTATAGTGAAATAAATAAGGAAGGAAAGATGGAAAGAATCTGCCACGCACCATTAGCAGGTAACCACCAGCCACACGGATGGCACTCACATCTGAAAAGGACTTCATGATATCACTGAGTGTGGTGGTAGAAAAGGCATGAATAGTCTGAGAATAATTTGAAGGCAGAGATTCCTGGGCCACCTGGAAAGAGACAAAACTGGTAAGACAGTGCAAGAAAAACATCTAAGAAAATGTTAGTACCTTTTGCTGACATTCCTATAATAAAATAATCTTTTTCACAGAAATGCCTAGCATATTCCTAGGGAAAGCATATGTTCATAAACAACCTACTGCTCAATTAACTAACTGTCTTGCACAAACACTGAAACATTTCCAGAAAAGAAAAATCTGCCAATTATGTCCATCCTAGAATCCACTTACGTACAATAAATCTCTTGCCGATATTTTCTCTACAGTCCCTATTTGGCTGAGCATTTTGTATCACTAGATAAAAGGTCATAAGATGTCAAAGAGATATTTAAGCATGATTAAGCCTGTATATTCAAATGGCTAGTGTGATCTGCTGTCGTCGGGGTGGGTGGGTGGGAAGTTGGGGGGGTTTTCCCCCCAAATTTGGTTCTATTGTACTTTACTAATTTATTTGATTCTTTTTGTTTGTTTTTATTGTTTTTTATTTTTATTTTTGTCTTTTGTTTTAAATATGGTTTTACATTGTGTAAGCTGCCTGGAGTTGCCATGGGTGAATAGGTGGCAATATAAATTAAATAAATATTGCCACACACATCGTATCTTCAAATCCTAGCCTGGGTGGGTTTTTTTTTTTCCTTGTTAAAGGAAAGAAGACAAGTCCTTGTCTTCGTTCTGCATGCAATTTTTCAACTCTCGTTCCATACTTGCATCAGGCAGCCCACGTCAGGCAGCGTATCAATGCCACTACCAGGATAGCCCTATTGGCACCTCACCTCAACGAATTCCCGCTGCCAAGCCTCCAGCACAGCAGCAGCCTTCTCCTCGCTCCAGCTGATATCATGTATCTCATAGTCATCCCGGTAGTGCTCGTAAAGTTGTCGTGGGCTCATCAGCAGGAACATGCTTTGCAGGGCTTCAGCTCTGGAGAAAGATAAGCCAGCTTAGAGTCCCCCTTCCTCTGCCCAAACTCTGCAGCCAAAGCATTCTACCCAGTCTGAGGTAGGAAACAGGAGCTCTGGCTTCTACTTTTCTTTCATCACCATCAGCTCTTTCAGAAGTTCATTTTCAGCACTTCCTTCGTTCCAAGCAAATGCTCCATATACACATTCTAAACTTAATGCAAAATGAATGATGCTGTAATGTCCTCCAGGTTTCATGGGAAAACAGGTTGGCTAATGCTCCAAGCAAAGTAAGAGAGAAACCATCAGCCTTTCCAAATGGCCTAGGATGGCAGATATTGTAGGCCTATAATTTGTGCTTGTGGAGATGATTGTTCAATATTGTTCACCATATGGTTTTTTCAACCCATCCAAAAGCACAAGCCTTCATGCACTGAAAGAGACATGAAGGTTTATTTTCTAGAATACCTTGTGCTTGCATCTCAACCTTTGAAAAGAAGTGAGCATACTTTTATATTTCCTACTTGTTTTGTTGCATTTCTTTTTAAAATGAAAACAGCCATTTCTCTTCTCATCAGCAATATTTATCTTTCACCATTTGTCTACAGCCCTCTACCTTGCCAGACATGAAAGGTTTCAGGGACAGAGGCATCCATAATAATTTCTTTCTACATGCATAACGTATGAGAAAATTCAGTAATGATCCTGATCGCACCAGGATGTGGAATGTGTCTTTCTATACTTAAGTAGCAGTAATCTGGCCAATAAATGGCTATGGACCCAGCTGTTGTGGTAGCTGGCAGCAGGTGCGGATGGTGGAAGAGAGCGAGGACTCAGGTGAGGGGCCAGGACCATTAGGGAGTGGACTGCTGCCTTCGGAGATTGTGGGGGCTGGCAGCAGTGATGAGGAGGTTCCAGAGGAGCCTGTGCCAAGTGCGCGTGCACGCAGGATCGATCATAGGAGAGAGCAGTTACAGCAGCACAGGTAACTCGGGAGTAAGGCTGCAAGGTAATGGCCACTCCCTCAAGAGTATAAAAGCCAGGTTTGAAGAAGCGTTCTTTGCAGAAGGCAAAGATGCTCTGAAGCTCAGCCTCGTGGACAGTATTTGAAAAATCTTGTAAATTAGTTCTTATCTCTGGGTTTTTGGCAGCCTTGACAAACAACTTGGCAAGGCTCTTTCTTGTCAGAGCTAATTGGAAGCAGCCTTTTATCTGTGAAGAAACAGAATTCATGGATGAAACCTTAAAAGGTGGGGGCTGCTGCCTTTGTCTTGTGTTTGCTCTCTTGGAACCCAGTTGGGTCAGAACACCAGCATTGTACAAAGGATGACATAGAGATTGGAAGAAGACCAAATTTCCAAAGTGGCCTTGGTACAAGGGAACAATTTTGAAGGTCAGATTCTGCTGAGAAGCTTAAATATGCCTATATTTGAGCTCCCTCTAGAATCTTCAGAATAGTAAAAACAGGTGTTTTAGTTTTAAGATAGTATCCACATTAAGTGGAAGAGGTTGGGGTGAGCAGTAGCTTCAGGAAGGAAGAGATAACAGCAGCCCAGGCTTCAGGGATCAACATAAATCCCAGGGCTGAGAAATGCTTGCCAGTTGTTCCCGGAGTCAGGCCATAGACATGCACCCATCATTCACAGAAATTGAAGCCTCAGAAGCATCAAGTTACATGCTGGTTCATGGGCCAATATAGCACCATTCCAAAGTGTAGAGGAGGAAGAGAAAAGTCCACTCATTTCCCAATGGAAAATGCGTTGAAAAACAAATGCACTGGGTAGCACTGACCATCACCTTTAATTTTCCTCTTGGCAAATCTTTAATTTTCCTCTGGGCACACTATTCGTATTGATCTGCAGGCAGAATCTCTTCGTTGTCACATTTATTCCAAAACAGAAAACCTTTCCTTATATACATAGGGACTCACAATCCAACTTACTTTTGCAGTTTGCCCTGAGGATCTTTTACTGTGCCCCCCAAGATGAGTTCCTCTTGCCAATGCATGTATTTCCGGGAGAAGCCATGGCAGCCACCTGTGAGTTCAGAAGGGATGTGTGGTTTCTGGCAGGAGCAAAAAGAAGAGAAAGCAAAGTGAATTATGCCATCAAAGAGTTTTCCATACTAAGCAATAATTCTCTAAAGCCCATTCTGGCTCTTGAAAGCTTAGAAACTACAACCATTGAAACCCCGAAGAACCCTGTTTTACTTAACACTGATTATTTACTGCAAATGTGCACAAGCTGGTTAACTGTGGCAAACAAAGGTAAATTGTTGCTCTTTGGCAAATGTCAGATCCAAAAGAAACGAAGAAATTATTAGAGGCAGCAAAGCCTAAAAGAAAAATATCAAACCGGGCTTATGAGGGACAAAAGCATTGTAGTTTTACATATTAGTGCTAATTTACTTCCTAATAAGAAATTAGGCTAATTAGTTTCACAAGGCAAATTAGGCAAAAAGTCTAGGGATATCTGCCCCAGTGTCATTCAATGAATGGGGATTTGAACCTGCTTGCCAACAAGACTTTCTAAAACCACACTATTCATACTGCAATGTATCTCTATCTATTCCATTTGCTTGCAGGTTTTTCCATACATCAGTTATGAAAACAACAGAGCACCTGACTGGACAAACAAACAAATCCAAGTAAATGAGCATTGGATTACATCTATCAAAATAAAGACATATAAAAATGTCCAGTGATTGACATGAATCGTTCTCCTCTGCAGATTCGTTCTGGTTTTCTGTGACTGAAAAATGAGCAGCAAACACATGCTGATGGTATTTGGTCAGAAATCTTTCTAAATACAAAATCCTCTTTCTCTCTGTGTTTGTGCGCACATACACACAGCCACAGATGCTTGACCATCGGCACATTGGGTATTTCTTTCAGACCTAAAGGCAGATCTTTCCTTTTTCTGTGGTGGAAAAAAGGGGAAACCGGATAGCCATAATGATAACAGTCTGGCTTTCAAGCCAGGAAATGTGGAATTATGGCTGCAATCCCACCCTCCCACTCCCTCAGCCGGTCCCCCGTCACATGGCTCCCAGTCTCTGTGTGCCTGTCTGTGTTCACAGGCTGCTCCCTCCTCCTCTATTTCCCAAAAGCTGCCATGCTGCCATCTGTTCTGGGACACATTCCAACCCTGACCACCTGCTGGTCAGCACTTGCACTACGTCTGCCTGAATCAGCACTATCAGCCCGGCCTGAGCCCCCTTGGTACGGGGCCCCTGCATTCTGCTTCTTTTATTTGGTCTCCCCAAAGCCTGAATAAGAAGGGCAAAGCTAATGAAACTGGGGACCCCACAGTTAGTTGAGGCTGTCTGGCTACACATAGCCTGAAAACATGTCTCTGGCCTTCAACAAATTACCATATGGTTTCATACAAACATATATGACAATGAAGTTTGTAAGTTCATCTCCTTGATTTTATCCTCCACTCAACCAAGAGAACCATCTCTCCTTGAAGCCAACCTCTTTCATTTTCACACATATAACTTAGTGTGTACTTGCAGTTATCTTGTAGCAATACTAAGAAAATGATAATAAAAATACTACAACATAAACAAAATAAAAATTCATAATAAAAATTCTCACTGAAATTGGAGAAACAAAGAATAAAATTCAGTATTTGATCAATGCTTAAAAATTATCTTTATATATTGTCAAAATACAGGAATATTGCCCTGGTGGAATATAGGTGTCACTATTAAAACAGGCTTCCCCACAGTGACTATCCCCTGAACCAGAGGTGGGTATTCAGCAGGTTCTGACCAGTTCTGGAGAACCGGTAGCGGAAATGTTGAATAGTTCGGAGAACCGGCAAATACCACCTCTGACTGGCTCCAACCCCATCTATTCTCTGCCTCCTGAGTCCCAACTGACCGGCTGGGTCATCTTTTGTTGTCCTGCACAGGAGAACGGAGCTGGAAAGCAGGTTAGTGGGGTGGGGAGGGACTGGAGATTTTGTAGTATCCTTCCCCTGCCACGCCCACCAAGCCACACCCACCAAGCAATGCCACGCCCACTAAGCCATGCCCACAGAACCAGTAGTAAAAAAATTTGAATCCCACCACTGCTCTGAACAGTAGCTTCTCATGAGGAAAATTAATTCAGATTGGGGAAAACAACATAGGAAATGGATTAAATAAACCAACAGCCAAAACGTAAGCAATACCCCCATCAAGGAACTACTATACAAGCTAACAGCCCAACAGAAGAACTTCCAAGACCAACTTCCACCAACGCTGACAGGGCAAGCACCAGAATATAAATTGAGAGCAAACCCCACTCCTTACTAGCACAGATGATGTTACCTAGTTTGGGTAATGAAACGACTGCAAGAAAACAACTAATCTCAGAGAGCATCAAGGATCCCTCATTTCAACCCTGAGCAACACATATTCTCCTTTAATGGATTAAATATCCCTCTCCCACAGCCCAACTCCCTCTCCTCCTTTAGCAAATTACTTTAAACTTTGGGAAAAAAATCAGGTTGGTTCTTATTCTTATAAATGCACCAAAGGTTGGGGGAAACTCACCTTCTGGCTTTGGCTGTTGGGAGCACTATGAGGACACTCAGGGTCAAAAGGATCAAGACAAGGCCGCTCCATATAGGCCTGGCCAACCTCTGCCTTATCCAACATCTCCTTGAATCCTTCGAGTGAGGCAAATTGACCCAGTTCCTCCATCAGTTGGATAGGATCTAAATTCGTCCACTGAATATCCCGCCGGCCCCTGTAGAGACAAAATGCTGTAGATTAATAGGATTCAAAAAAAAGTATCCATTGGCCCTGCATACTGATGTCGCTTAAAGTGGCGATACCTCTCATACTCATGCCCACTTTTTAAATCCCTCCAACCCTCAAAGCCACATCTGCTCTGGCTGGTTCTGGACATCCAAAAAGAGGCGCTTAAAGGCACAGTAACGAATCATTTCTCCTGCTCATGGGGGGGAATTCCACTTAGGGAATCTGAAAAATTTTAGAAGTGAAAAAAAAGAGAAAAACAATAAATGTCCACTGAGGATGCATGCGGTCAGGACCTGGAATACTAATTAGCTTTTGGGGTTAAAAAATACCCAGAACTGGAAAGGGGACTAAAAATTGAGTGGAATTTTAAATGAGAAGCATTTCACACTACAACATTGTACAGTAAATCTTTTTGCATTTCTTCTATTTATCCTTTTCTTATAGTGAAAGTCATAAAAATGTTACAGGATTAAACTTTAAGTAGCCCTTTGCCTCATTAATAGAGCTGTTATTGATTTTGCTCCAAAATTATTGATTGTAATTGCATGGTTGGATTTTTAGGAACATTTTTAATCCTTTGTCATAAAAGAAAAATGCATTTTAAAATTCAATTATTGGAGTGTTTTGATTTGTATTTGTATTTTTTTTTTTGCAAGAACAACAGCAGAGCAGTCCAGTAGGCCAGCTATTATTTATTCCAAAGAGAGTTCAGCTAAGAGGAGGCTCTAGAGGAGAACATAATTGCCTTGACTGGCTGCAAAAGACTTATTTAGGGATAGGAGGGATTTGTGGAGGGTTTGAACAGGCCTTCATTCCCTTTGTCCCCATACATTAACAGGATCAGGCATGCTGCTTTCCTTTTGCTTGTGGCTTGGAGAGCCAGCTCTGAAGTAATTGGACAGTGCCTCTCTGGCAGGACCAGAAAATGTAGTTATGCACAAGGATGAGAACGCGAACGAATTACGCTTATTTGAAAGAAAAAAGAGAAATTTTCAACAGGAATGGAGAGGAAAGAGAAGAATTCTGCATAGGAGAAAGGTATATGTTCATCAAATGTATCTGTATATAGAAACTGCAGTAAGTATGGATAACCATACATTGGCCTCCATACACCCAGCATAATTACCCATTTTTTTTTTAGCAGTGGCTACTACTGGGGGCACCAGCAGAATAAACAGAACTGCTCGTTCCCTTCTACATCAGAATTCAAACAAATACTGACGGTGTGTGATCTGAATGGGTCCTTGATCTTGTCTAGGCCAAGATGGAGGATGTTATTCTGCTGATGTACTGATTATTCTAGTGGAACCTTCCATGAATTGGTGTCCTGGATAATAGCTTCTGGAATTTACCAAATAGTAACGGTTGGATAGAAAAAGGGAGTTGAAGTCCGACCACATCTAAACAGCACCAGGTTAGGAACTCTGCCCATCTATCACTAGTACTCTTATCCAGTCTTGTCATATTTCTGCTATGGGCAACAGCTACATCTATTGAAAAGTAATGAGAGATGGTACAGCAACAACAACCCTTTTGTGCGAACTTGATCATCTTTTTTCAAGTACAAAATATTTTTATACATCTCTTTTCCAGTAGAAGTAGTTGTGCACCCGAAGCTTGGAAACGAATAGCTATTGAATTTCTGGGCCTGTAAAAGTGTAATGGTATGTGGGAATGACCTTGGCAGACTGGGCCAAGAAATACTGCCTAGGAAACAGTCAGATCAGATAAGAGGCAGTACAGTCTGCAGCTGGCTAGTGCGTGGGACAAGAATCTCAGAACATCCTAATTTCTTGGGGTGTGAAGGAAAGTTGTACTTTCAGACTTGCAAGATTTTGAAATCTTGCAACACACAAACACACACATACACACATACACGTTTGTATATATATAAAAACATATACAGGTAATCCTCTTCTTACAACCATAACTAAGCACAAACTTTCTGCTGCTACCCAAGACTGTTATTAAGTGGATTTTGCCCCATTTCACAACTTTTCTTGCCATAGTTAAGTGAATCACTACAGTTGTTCATGTACTAACATGGTTGTTAAGTGAATCTGGCTTCCCTGATTGTCAGAAGGTCACAAAAGCAGATCATATGATCCCTGGACATGGCAACCCTCATAAATATGAGTCAGTTGCCAAGCATCTGAATTTTGACCATGGAAGTGTGAAAAATGGTCACAGTTCACTTTCCTCAGTGCTGTTGTAACTTGAACGGTCATTAAATGAACTGCTGTGAGTCAAGCACTACCTGTAGATATTTTAACATTTTGGCACTCTAATAGCAAAAATATGTTCCTATTGAATAGCTGCCCAGCTGAAAGATGTTAGAGTTCGTTTCTTTCTCATGCAAAGCTGGCAGCTTTGTGTAGGTTAACCTTCCACAATGTGGTGTCTGCCAGATGAATTGTGAGTGCAGTTTTCAGAATGCTTAATCAGTGTGGCGTATCTGCAAGACTCCAGGTCAGGGAAGGCTGATGCAGATTCTCCTGGCCAGATTGTCTTGTCTGCTAGCCAACTTCTGCAAAAAACAAAAGTCAGTTCTTCTCCCTTCTGTCAGTTTGTTCAAAACAAATATAATCTCTCTTCAGAGCCTCCTAAAAAATGTGAATTTTCTCTCCCTAAATCTGTGGTGAATTCTTCAGTGTTTTCCCTGCTTAAGGTTATTACGTAACCATATCATTTAACTTTGAGAATCGAAAGAAAAGGGGACAGTAACATTAGCAAAACATTGATTATTAACAAATTTGTAATAAAATAGATTGGTGTTTTTTGAGATCTTCGACAAGAATAATGAAGAACATCTTGAATTATTTTTTTATAGTAATGGATACATACTACACTCAAAGATGAGGAAATGATGAAAACTCAAGCAGAGTAAGTCTTGTCCTGGTTTTGGCAGAATCACCCTCCAATCACTCATGAAATCTCAGATCCCAAGAAGTTTCCTCCTTGCTTGATTCCCACATTCCAAACAGCCCAGCTCCTACTCCTAAAGAGAGCTTCTTTTATCTGCTCTTTCTTGCTTCACTGAGCCAAGTCGAGCCCTTTTGTTTTTCCATAGATTGCTGCCTTTTGTTCTCCGAATTTTCACTCCCTTTGCGTTAAAAGGAGAGGGGGGAAGACAGAGAGAGACCCTCAACTGAACTGAAGCGGAAGTTGGAGCAAAAGCTCCCTGTTTCAGACATTCAGAAGAAAAACTTTGGGGTGCGTGTGTGTGTGTGTGTATAAAATATTTAAAGAGTAAGAAGTAGGATATAAGAAAGGTAAACTTGGAAACTAAAAGACAGGTACAGAAATAAATGAGCAAAGGCTTTGCATTTAGCCCTATCAACTGTAGTGTCTGAAAAGAACTAAACAACCTGGTCGATTGTCCTTGTTGTCTAAGAAGTATAATACTTCTTGAAAATCTCCTTTTTTAAAAAAGGAAGGTTAAAGATATTATAAGCAGGTGGTTCCTTAAAATCTCAAGCATGATAACCACCTTGAAAGAAATCCTACTATATTCCTAGGGGGTAGAAGAATACACCTTGACTTATTGACCCCAAGGAGCCAGTAATCATGCCATCTACATCCAGTGCAATTTAATCAGGTCCTGTTCTGCTTACCTTGGATTTGTGCTGCTACTGAGTTCAAGGGGGGAAAGCATTGTACCTCCCCATGAGCCTCCTGGCAGTTGGATGCTGTAATCCCTCCCTCTTTACGTTTTTTTGTTTTAGAAATCTGTTTTCTCCTCCTTTACTCACTCTCACTGTCCTCTTCCACTCAGCAGCAGACTGAATAAAGCTACTATTCCATTTGTTGGGTAACTTGGAGCTTTCAAAGTGTCATTAGCATGAGAATATGTGGTGTTGCCATTTGCTGACAAAGCATAAGTCTGCAGGGCCCCTTACAGACAAACATACTTGTAAACAGAAAGAATGCTGGTAATTGTCCCTGGCCCTCCTTCCCCTTCCCCAACCCCGTCCCCTCTAGAGGGCTGGTCTCCACAACTTCACTCTCCCCCCTCCTTCATCCCCCATTTTGTACACCTTAATAGAAATATAATTACAAGGCAGCAGAAGAAATAAAACAAAGCAACTGAGCCCAGAAAATTTGGGGAGGAGACTGATGACAGCAAGTGGTAACCCCAGCCCCCTTTGATTTGGAATGGGGACAGAGAGAAGACCTTGGGACTTTAATCATGTTCTCAGAGTATTTGACATAATACTTCTATACTGTCACCCGTACACTGCTACCTTCTTGCATTGAAAGCAGGTGACGAAGGCAAGCTATAGTTCTTTTTCATGTTTTGTTTCATACAAAAAGAAGGTAAATAGTAATACTATCAGGGTAGAAGAGAGCTCTTTTTCCCTATTCAAAGTAATATTACAAAACATTTCTGCCTATGCTCTTGATGTCACATCCATTCAAGATGGAAAACTTTATTCCTGGTATATCTGCCCTGAGATCACTCAGAATGACCACTGCTTCCTTATATAAGCAGTGATCTTGAATACATTTTGTTATGTAGGTAAATATCTTGAAGGCACCAGATACAAAGGAAGCTTTATCTAAAGTTGTCAAGCAAGCCAAGGAAGAAAACTTATTCTCAGACAAGGATCCTATGGTTATCTGTGCTGAAAATATAGCAAAGGACAAAGTGTTTTCAAAGGAAATTTTTTAAAAGACCCCCTTTCCATCAGCTAGACTCTGTTCTACAGTCTGCCCAAACTAATCCAGTCTTTCCCCTAAGCAGGGGTCCACAAACTTGGTGACTTTAAGACTTGTGGACTTCAACTCCCAGTCTCAAAGTCGCCAAGTTTGAGGACCCCTGCCCTAAGGTGTCGAGGATAATTGAGTTCAAATATTGTGCCTGAATTTTAAGAGTAAACCTTTGCAATGCCCTCTATGTTTTTGGGCTAAAGCTCCCAATAGCCTACCCTCCAAATTTTAGCCTATGGCCACTCCTTAATCATAAATATTCAATGAACCCTTCTCTTTTTTAATCAGTGATCTTAGATTAGGTATGCTGTCCATCCCTGTTGGGCATTATTTAGCAAAAAGAATCAGCAACAACCTTCTCTTTCTTTTTCCTTTACAGAAATTGGCTTTCCCCAAACTTCTTAGCTTTGTCAATTAAGATCAAAGAGTTGGCTTCATATTTAGCATGTGGTACAAATCCTATCAGTTTGGTTTCATTCTATTCAATACATCGAAGAAATGCAGAAAGGGTCAATTAAGTAACCAAATTAAGTTTATTGCAGAACCCAGCTAGTTTATGGAAGAGCATGACAGTGCTCTGATTAGTTGAGGGATTCTTTGAAAGAAAATACTTTTAATGAATATTAAATAGAAACATTTAATGTGATATATGGGAAATGGGAATTGGGGGAGGACAAGTTTTATTGTTTTGCCCAACTCAGTTATTATCCTACGAAAAAACAAAGCAACGAGGACTAATCATATCACATATTTTCATCCGAGATATGAAAGATAAGGGCAGAAAAAAACTCTTGTCACAATATTCAGTGCTTAATGAACTGTACCTTTTTCATAACTAGGATCCCATCATATGGCCGCAGGAGAGAGGGACAGAATGGCATAGCAAAAAAAAGCAGACACTTACGGTAGATAAGCAGACCCTCCTTGTAGTTTGGCACCATCCCAGAAACAATCCAGTGGAGTCACAACAACACAGGGGAAGAGCTTCTCAATCATCTGGCAATAAAAGGAATAATAATCATGGCACATAAATATAAATTAATGCAGTCTACAATCTAAACACACCTTACGCTGTAAGATATTGAAAGCCAAGTCATTGGCTAGTTAATGGGAAGTCTTCATTCTAAGGATAGCATCCTGACTAATGTGACAGTAATTTGGTGACCTTGTACAAAGGGTCAAATGCTGCTGTTTCTTATAATCCAAGCCTAAGGAATATAAAGTCCTTATAAGTAAAGATCTGGCACTTCTGAAAACAAAGAAGGACAAAATAAATTTTCCTACTTCACAGAATGGAATGGAGATAAAAATTCAAAGGCAGCCAGTATCTCGAATAGAGATAAGTGAATATTATTAGAATAAGAAGTCCAGTGTATTAAAAAACACTGCCACCAGATCTCTGAATCCAAAAGGATGACTTGGAAAGCTGCTCTTTTGCGATGGCATTTTAAAAAGATTCCACCTATTCCTCCATAGCAACCTCAAGATCACTGCTAGTATCTATTCCACTCTCCAGTAAAACCACTAATCCTCCAGGAAATTCAACAAAGAGATCTCCCCAAATGTTTCACCTCCTTTCTATAGCTACTACACAATGATGGGACAAATGGGTTGTTGTTTTGCTTGAGAGCTGCGTACATATATGCTTTAGATCAATGTTCCTCAACCTGGGCATCTTAAAGATGGGTAGATTTCAACTCCCAGCATTCCCCAACCAGCTCATGCTGGCTAGGGAATGCTGGGAGTTGGTCTACCCATCTTCAAGTTGACCAGGTAGAGAAACACTACTTTAGATCCTTAGGAAGACATGTCTATGAAACTGAAAATAGTTGGCCTTTGTAGGTGGGTAGCAGTATTCATGGATTTGTTTTGCTTGTAGAGTTCTAGTGAAGCATTTCCATGCATATTTTAGCTTTATTTATTTTTTAAAAGAGCATCAATAAAAACAGACATTTTGATGTTGGGATATTCTGGAGGCTTCAGATTGGAACCTGACAGACCAAATGCACACATGGGTCATCAGCTCTCGTTGTAGAGGCATATATTCCCTTGTATACTCACCCGTGCAATCATTCCATTCTCAATTATTGGGACACCTGATTTGTAGCATATTTTGTTGAGATCCCATGATCTAAGAGTAAGAGCAGAGACAGCAAACATCAGAAAATCAGGAATTCTGGGAGAGAATTGTCTGAACTAATACAAGATTAGTTATGAAGATATTGAAATCAGATTTCACTATATTTCAAGACAATAAATTTCTGAACATCAGTTCTTAGACAGAAGACCATTATTTGTATATCCTATTTATGATTTTGTGGTAGCGTATAGTTAGTGACTACAATAGAATACTGAATTAACTAGATCAATGATAGGTAATTCTGAAGATCAAGATTGCTTGTGGTTCCATTACCACAGACAGCGCAATTCAAAGAGCCATAGAAAAGCCAAACTACTTTCCCAGTTGCCACTAGCAGGTAGAAATCTGCAATTATTGCCATCCGCCAATTTATTTGCTACTAAGGGATGATTACATATATTCTGACTGTCTTGTTGGTAAGTTAATTAGCAAATCAGCTAATTGGCAATAACACAATTGATTCTACATCTAGTAGACTGCTGGAAAAAGGGGGGAAATCTCACGGCTTTTTCCTTGCAATGAACCTACTCAAAATTAGCAGGAGGAAGCCAGCCATCTTCAGCAGAATTGCTGAGAGGAAAGGGGTGGTGCTACTGAGCCCTACCCAAACAAACAGTAAAACTGCTGATTTCCTGCAATGGAAAACCAGAGATCTGCAAGTATAATTACAGAGGAGAGGTGCTTATAATGAATGAATGAAAACAATCCAACAGAACAGATCTTATTATTAGTGTAATACAGTTGCTCCATTTCAGACTTACTTTCCAAATAGTAAGACTTGGACTTTACTAGCAGCCAAAGCAGCTTCAAGATGCATTTCCAAGGCATCTGGAGTTAGGATGTTTTCTCCTTCCTGTTTGGGAGTTTGTATTAGCATCTGGGATGTGTAGAGAGATTCTTCACCAAGCTTTTCTCTTGTGTATCGGAGCTCTTGGCTGACACGACTGCCCTCTGGAGAGAGGGAGAGAGAGAAAAGAATGGAATCAATATACCTTTCCCTTATCTCTGTCACTGTTAAATCAGCTCTCACATTATCATCAATCAGGATATTAAAATTGGGGATATGTTCATATCAAATACAGTTCAGTTAAAGTTTTACACACTATACTACTCCATCTTAAAAGTAATCCTGAATATATTTGGTTTGTGACCTTCTGAAGCTAAAATAGCCCTGAAAAAAATGACTTGTGACTGGTCTTTGCACTTATGACTGCAGCAGTTTCCCCACAGTCATATGATCAAAATTTGGGTGCTTGGCAACCAGCGTGTATTTACGATGGTTGCAACATCCCAAGCTCATGGGGTCATCATAGTGACCGTCCAGCCGGCTTCTAACAAGCAAAGTCAACGGGGGAAGCCAGATTTGTTTAAAGGCATGGTTTACTTAAGAACTGCAGTGATTCACTTAATAACCATGGCAAAAAAGGTTGTAAAATTGGGCACAACTCACTGTCTTGCTTAGCAGTGGAAATTCTGTTCCCAATTGTGGTAATTAATCAAAGACTACATGCATTTTTGATAGATTCAAGATGAATAGTTTAGTAATGCATTTTTCTCATGCTCAGACTTAAAATGCAAATTCAACATTCTAATATATGTCATAGTAAAAGACTTGAGTCATCCACAGAGAGTATCTGCACCAAACTAGCATCAATACCACACTGTCGTATTCCCACAACGTCATTCTTACTGGATAATCCTAGGATCACTAATTTCAGCCTGCTGAATTGTCTAGTAGATTCAACAATCTTATCAATGAAATCTAAATCTTTCTCGGCAGTTTTACAACTTTCCTAGAAAATATCTTGGTTGGTTTTCCCTCTTTATATAAGCAAAGTTTATTAACTAAGTAACTGAAATACTCCAGGTCAGTTTAAATTAATTTCATAATCTCTCTTTAAAAAAATCCTGCAGAGAAGCAAAATGTTTTCCCTAAATTTTTCCCACATTGCACTTTTCAGTTTTTGGGCTCAAGCAAGCTGTCTCTCATCTCTTGAACCAAAGGCTGTTCATTGCAATTTACAATGTAGCTTTTAATTAGATCTGATCTGATTTAATCTGATCTGATAGGCTGCAAAGTCAACAACACAGATTTATGTACTTTAAAAAAAAACCACAAACACATAGCATGGACTGAAAATGAGGAGAAAACAGTTATTTTTCCTTTCTTTTTTTTTTTAACAAAATGTTAGGATATGTTCATTAATCCAGGAATTGCTGTAGCTCAGAAGGAGCTACTGATTGACTGAAAATCTTTACACTTGCCTGTTGGCCAGCTGGAAACATTCACGGTGTTCTTTGCCTGATTGTAACGTTCTGAAATCAGCAGAAATAATTCTAACTGCACAAGGGACCTCAAAATGCTTTGAGAACTCAGAGGGCTGAAGCAGTAACATTAAAAAGTGCTATAAATGGAGCTTGACAAACAAATGTTAGTTCTATTGAATCCTGAAAGATATAAGAGATGTGCTCAATTCCCATTCTTCTTTGAAAGCAATGGATGATGGAGAAAAATAAATACACCAGCTTCACAGCAGGACGCTACAAGAATGGAAACAGCTGGATCAAGCAGATCCAAAACTGATTTTGATTCACTCCTGCCCTGAAATTGGACCTTTCGTTGGCTACCACCACTCCAACTTTTCATCTGCCAAAGAACAGCAGATACTTACACTATGATGGAGTTGCCTCAGCAATGCTTTTATCTGTGAAGACTCAGTAACTCACAGTCCTAATGTTTTCCACCTATTCAAATTAAAGGACTGGGATTGCTTTTAACTGTGTAATTAAATAAAACTGCATAAATTACACAAATTAAGATATGCATAACACTAAATGGCACTTGGCATTTTATATTCCTAAATTTGGCAAATGTAATTTCCACAATTGTCAACTCCTTCCTTTCCTTTACAATTATTTTTCCACTAAAATTCACCTGCCAATTTGACTTCCCACATTGTGAAGGATCTTCCTTCTCAAGAAAACATTAGACCAGGGGTGTCCAACCTTGGCAACTTTAAGGTGTGTGGGCTTCAACTCCCAGAATGTGCTGGCTGGGGAATTCTGGGAGTTGAAGTCCACACACCTTAAAGTTGCCAAGGTTGGACACCCCTGCATTAGACAAAAGCATAATGCAAGATAGCAATTTCTGGGCCTAGGAATAGGTAAGAAGCACTTGCCCCTTCTAGATCTTCCACAATAGACTTCAGCTTTAGTGGTTGTGATGTTTTCTGTTTGTGTTTTAAATAAAAGCATAAAAGTATGGTAAGACAAGTCAAGAGGATGAACTTGATGGAGAGTTCCATCAAGTTCCACTATCAAAGTAACAAAAAGAAAAATATTGTCTGAGTCTAAATTATGGGGAAGATTACAAAAACACCTCAGATAGATCCTCCTCCAATCACATAAATCTAAAAGAAGACGGGAAACACAATCAGACTTGCACAATTATGTTACTACAGGCCAGGGGTGTCAAACTCAAGGCCCAAGGGTCGGATTCTGGCCCATGGGGCTGCCCTGGAAACAGTGAAGGACCGGCCCACGGTGCCACAGTCAATGAAAATGGAGCTCAGGAGGGCTGCATGTGGCCCTTCCAAACTCCAGTTTCTCTGGCAGAGGGTGGCAAGAGGCAGTTGCAGCCAAAAATGGAGTTTGCGAGGGTCATGGGCAGCCCTCCTGAGCTCTGTTTTCACTGGCAGAGGGTTGCAGGAGGCCATAGCAGCTGAAAATGGAGCTGGGGAACCTGTTTTTGCTAGCAGAGCGCTTGGGCCACCATAGGCGCCCCTGACATGATGTCAAGCTGGCCATGCCCACCTTCGCCACACCCACCCCAGCCCCTTGAGGTCAAACAAAACCCTGATGAGGCCAGAGGTGGTATTCAGTAGGTTCTGACCGGTTCTGGGGAACCGGTAGTAGAAATTTTGAGTAGTTCGAAGAACCGGCAAATCCCACCTCTGACTGACCCCAGCCCCATCTATTCTCTGCCTCCCGAGTCCCAGTTGGTCAGCTGGGTCTTCTTTGGTTGCCCAGCACAGGAGAACGGAGCTGGAAAGCAGGTTAGTGGGGTGGGAAGGGAATGTGATTTTGCAGTATCTTTCCCGCAGGAGTGGGGAGGGAATGGAGATTTTGCAGTATCCTTCCCCTGCCACGCTCACCAAGCCATGCCCACAGAACCGGTAGTAAAAAAATTTGAATCCCACCACTGGATGAGGCCGTCAATGAAATTGCGTTTGACACCCTGTATAGCCAATTTAAATAAAGAGTTATGTGGACTCAATTTCTTAATCTGATTTACCTTGTAGAGTAGCAATCACACATATGCAGAACACAATGTCGCCATTAATTTTGTGACAGAAAATTGAATATTGTACATTGTACTAGTGTTTCAGGATTCACAGAAATGATATAAGAAATGAGAGTTTTTATATTGTAAAGTGAAATGGGACAGATTTCAAAGAATGAAATACTTCTTTGTACCAAGAGAGGTTGGAACTGTAGAAAACTTTAATGGTGACTAACAAGATGACTCTTCTTCTTGTCCATCAACTTCATATATAAGTAACCTTTTAGATGTTCTTATGTCAAGATGCCTAAAAATAAGTACAGGTAGCGCACTTCGGACCCCTGCCTAGGTACTCAAAACTGTGTCATTCCAATATTTTATTTCTCTAAAAACAAGACAGCTTTCAATGATGCATCTTTGCTCTCTCGGAAATAACTGTGAGAGCAGAAGTTAAACAACCCTAAATTGTAATCTTAAAACACTTCCGCCCCCGCAAACTATCTGAAATTGTGCTGCCAATCCCACTTTGCCACCAGATTTGAAGAGTTATGGAGGTTGAGATATTTTAAAGATGAAAGTGGAAGTGACTTGCCTCCAGAAACTTCCTGCTTTCTTTCCCATTCTTAATACTTCTAACAATCCATCCCACACATTCCAGAAGGATGATGGCATCCCCTATAGTTTTCCAGCTAATTAGGGCAAAGAGTTATAAGCAAGACTTGAGAAGTTGCAACCTTCCATTGCTCTCTCTGTAGTCAATCCTCTGTTCAGTTCCTGGGCCTTAAGTATTCTTTTAAATACCTTATTGAGATTTGTAGCTGGTGGTTTCAGCTATGAGCCTTTGGACAGTTCATTCCCCTTTGACTCTGCCTCTACTCCTATCTAAATGGGGATCACTTACAGGGAATGGAACAATACCATTTCTGTTGCCTACCATTAGCAACATTGCTAGCCCTCTTCTAAATACTTCCACAACAGTGTTAATTTCTCCTATGAAATAACACATGTACAGTCAGATACCTCATCTCAAGATAAACATCATAACTCAGTATAGAACCAACACTGCTCTCCTTACCCACCACTAGGGTCAAGATTTGCTGCACTGCATCTTAATGAAGGGCGGGGGGAGAGGGAGAGGAGGCCTGCTAAAACATCTTGCCAATTTATCGGAGAAACTCATGAATATCAGAGATGACTCTACTCTAGAACATATTTTGGAAGCACGGTGAACCCAGGCTGAGAAATCCCTAAGTCGCTGGTCTTATTATCATCCTGCACAAACTGAGAGTGCACTTGGCATAGGCATGTATCCTCTGTGGCTGCATGATGCTTTGTGTAAAAGATGAAAATGGACAGGTACAGCAGTCTTTCAGGACTATTCAACTGACTGTTCTATCTTCTCCTTAAAATGCAACTCCCTCATATTCTTCCCAGGATCCCCATTTTGAAGATATTATTTTAAGCTACTTCTTCTGGTTATAACACTATATTTCTTTGCTTTGCTATAAAATCATTACTTTGGGGTACAAGCAATTTTTATTCCTTTTGTAAATCCACTTTATTATTTTAAAGGGACTGACCTCCAATTCAAAGCACCCCCACAAAAATGACACTTTTTCTATGTTTTTGGAGAATAGTCCTATTGCTAAACCAATCCCAAACCATCTAA